ACAAATCCTTACTCGTCGGTTCCCTCGTTTGGTTCAGTCTTGAGTTTTACTTTCTTGAAACAATAAGTTTTCAAAATAAAAATAAACACAGTAAAATAATTTTAATTAAATGAGATAAAATTAATATAGGTTACAGATTTTAACTCACCTGAGTCAAGAAATTGGAAGTAGTCCCTAAACTTATTTAAAAACAATTTTTCCATCGAAATCAACGGAACACACAAATTAATTTACCCATTTTGTTGACTTTTTCGTGGAGGAGGAAGGAAAATGGCCGCCAATCAGACCCGTGCACAAGGAAGAGACTGACACAATTTGGTGTGAAGTCCAAGCTTTGCTTACTGCGGTAACATCCCACTGTGTCAATTCGACACCATTGCATGAATATCGCTGATACCAGTAGCGTGTCAAAGCGTTTTTTGCCCAGTGTCATTGTTACACAACGGTTTGACACAATTTAGTGGAATTTAGGTTGACACCGACGGTTGGTGTTGACGAAATTCTTGGTTTTGTTACCAAGTTGCTAAGAGTGCAGTTAATAAATAAAATTAGATTGAATAACTTTCGCATCACCGCTCTCGGGATAATTTTGACTGGGTAAATTTAGTTTTGCATACGCATGAACTCTTGCATTCATTAAATTCATTGAGATTACAAGATGACATTTTTACTATTGAAAGAGAAGTTGGCTAAATTAATCGATATGAAATATAATTGTGAACTGTGAATTTTAAATTTAGAAAGAGTTGAAAATCTAAAATTTCGATATATAAATTTTGATATCCTATTAATTCCTATTCTGATGAAATCTCCAGAACCTTTGAGGGGGGGCAATTATTCTAAATGATTAATTAATGCTTCCAGGAAAAATTATCCCTAGAGCGGTGATGCAAAAGTTATTCAATCTAATTTTATTTATTAACTGTGATTGCTCTGACTCACTAAGATTTCCCATTTTTTGGGGACTTGTTTATTTAAAACTTGTAATTGGTTGTCAAAGACATTATTTTTACTGCACAACCGCCGTTATTATCGGCACCCTGAACATTTTTATTAAATTTTTGATTTTCAAACTTGAATAACGCCGTTATTTCTCAACCGATTTGGGTCATTTTGCGCTTAAAATGTCCGGAATGACTTTGACTAAAATATTTGCAATAAGCGAGCATGCTGGGATACACCACTTATGAACCATAAAAATAAATTTGTTTTCAGGGGAAAATTTTTGCACATTTTGGCACATAACTTGGGTAAAAATAAAATTCGCCAAGTCGACTAGCACATTTTTTCTAAATTACCTAACAATGATCTGTGCAAAATTTCATCAAAATCGGTTGAGAAATGGCCGAGAAATCGACTTATGTCACTTTTTTTGGGTGGGGTAAATGCATACTTGGCAAATTTTTTCGTTGTCAGGTATTTGCCTCACTAAGAAAAACAGCCTGTGGCGAGATTAGGCACTAAATATCGCGACACAAATGGCCATTATTACTCGCCCGCGGACTTTAGTGTTGCCATTGCCCAGATAAATGATAAGTTTGGTCCAGTCTTCCTCCACGATGTGATCCACACCCCATGCGAGGGGTATGAAATGCTTCACACCGCACAGTTTCGGTTCCCCACGGTACGTCAGATTTCCCCAGGGGATGTCTGGCCCTTGGGAATCATGGGAATCTCTAGGGTTCACCTCGTGGTGAATGAGGTGGGACAACAAAAGCCACGTTTTTTGAGGTGATTGACCCAGAGTTCTTTACTGTTTTTTTATCGGACCATCATTAACGTACCCTGTTAAAAATCTGGTGCTGGTAATAACTTTCGTCTTGTGTGATTTAATTCATTGCCAACTAGTTAGATAATCCAAGAACTTGTTGTTTAATAAAAAATAATCTCACACAAGTAAAAAAAAATACAAAATAAAGTCACTTCTGTGGGCATATTTTAGAGATTTTTACTGTAATAGATATCCGACGTCTGCTCAATATATTTATATCAATACTAGCGTATAAGCCCCTCCCCCGCCGGGCGAGAGCTTATTTGATTTTCGTGAAAATTAAGTCGGATTGTTCAAAATTCCAGCGAATCATTTTTTACTATAAAACTAGCTAGAAATGCCTGTTGGCGAGGGAAGTGAAACTTTCTCCATTTTTACTTCCGTCACGGAAAATTACTTTCACTTCCGTTGCAGACAAACATTTCCAGCTTATAATTATAATATAGATCCCAGAAGTTTATACAAAGCCTTTTTTTATTTTTCACCCTAGACGGATACGTCTTCGAAGGATTACACCGTCCTTCCCTCGACCGCCACCATTGCGACGTCCACGGTCTGCAAGATATTTCAAGCATGGGATCCCTACTACACGCCGGCATTCCTCGTCTTATGGGAAGTGGAGGCGGTCGTTGTAAATTGTGACGTACTAAGCACACCGACAAACTTTTCTTCGCCTCATTTTTGCGCCGAGTTGGAAATTCTGGACCACCTCAGACCCCTGAATAGACGGGAGTAGACGAATGCAGGCTATACGACCCTCCACAAAAGATCAAGGGGACAACCGACCCCTATTTTTTCAGGGGCATCCCGGGCAACCAGTGGCCCGTGATTTGTCCGGGAATTATTGTCCATCAAGAAAGAGATGAAGGGTACGGGTGGGCTGGGAACATAAAATTCCGTCAAATTAGAGGAAACAAGCCATTCGTGGTTGTGGAGTATTTCAATCCGAGTGGGCTTACCACCAATTTAACAGTTGTGATGTAAACAGTGACTTCGTTTGCTACTTACTGCAAATACTATATATGTGAATACAATTTTATTGGGCAGGCTGTAAAATCAGACATTTCTAAATAAAGCAGTTGTTGTTTAAAGAGAAATTATGTACTTTTCTTTGGTTGGAAATAAGGAATACTTTAAATTAATTTTAGCATTCTAATATACAGTCCTATGACCATCATCTTCGAACTTGACCTGTCTTTTGACCTCACGAACACGTAGTAAAACTTTCAAGTCGAAATTCGCATGCATTGAAAAGTTATCATGCATACGGACGGACAAGGCATTTCCATTAACCTTTAATAACTGTGACTTACTGCGTGACTTACTGCCACCAAAGCATTGGTGCAATATTACATAAAAAATATTTAAACAATGCAGGATTTTATGTTCCAACTTATTCCGTAATACTTAAGTGTTACAGGGTGAGCTGTTTCTAAAGTTGCAAAGGTTTATTACCCTTTACAAACCTTCCATAATTTACATAAAGTCATACTTATTATAAAGAATGCAGCCAGGGTGAATGGTGTCAGGTAAAAATAACCTTCTTTTTAAAAAGGTTACGGAGGGGCTGAACCTCTCACGGCTTCATTTGCAACTTAACCACATAACTCTACAGACCAATTTGACCATTTTTTTTGGTTTTCTTTACGTGAAGACTTCCCTAAAGTAGCCCATCATGATTAAAGAAATCACCTCAACTCTACTTATCCTCCTGTTTCTCGTGTCTTTTGCGAAGGGACAATCCATGGGCGAGGTATAAATGTATTTAATTTTTTACGTATTACATATTTCCTGATTTGAAAAAATCTCTCCTTATTTGTCGCAGTGTCGTCAAATTCCGTGGAACATTCCGGGGTGTCATGGAGGACAAAATGCACTCGAGACGAGGTAAAGTCGCCGTCTGTGTGCTACATGCCAACCCAGATAAGGAGGACAAGTATTACTGCGAATGCTGGGAAGAGGTAGAAAAACGACATTTTTAACGTGACATTTCGTCATACTAATTCATAAAAGACCTAAGTGCAGTCGGTGTTTAATTCAGAAAAGACCTAAATTTACAGAAAAAAGTATAAAAAAGAGGCCTATTGTACGTATTTATTTATGGGTAGATCGCGTTATATATGAAGAATAGTTTTGGCAAGATATACACTCTAAAAAATCCGGTAATAAATTCATAACACAGTGTACTACCGCCTGTGTGGTAAAATTAGGTATTACCATCAGCATAGTATGGTAACGCTGTATTACCATTTCTTCTACCAAGTGGTACGAAAGACTACCAGCCTGGTTAAGGTAAGAATCTCAATTCGTCCACCACCGCGGCAAGGCAGTATTTAGTCTCATGCCAAAATTATACTACATTAGCCGACTGAGCAGAGTTATCCTATTATTTTACGCTAGTTATTTTCATTTTGGCGTTTAAATTATTCAATTTCGTATGATTTTTACGCCAGAATTAAAATAACTGGTGTCAAATAATAGGATAATTCGGTTGATTCGGCTAATGTACTCAATCTGGTGAACCTAAGTAGCGTGAAACGGGGTTTTGGTTTACTGCGCAGTAATAGTAGTATCTACCAGCACGGTAAAGTCATATATGTATGTTTACCGCGTGGTAATAAAATTTCTTACAGTGTAGCCATAAGTAAATTCATACTACGAATGAATTCAGAATGGATTGGACCTGGTATTTTTTGCATGCATCGGATTTGGATGGATTGGATCTGACATTTTTTGCATGCATCGGATTTGGATGGATTGGATCTGATATTTTTTGATGGATTTGGAGGGATCGGATCTCAAGAAATGACCCTCCAACTCACCTTTAATATTCATATTACGTTGAATGGAAAGCGCCCAACTCCATCACCAAGGCAGATACGTTGCCATTCGAACCCTTTGCATTTGTAGGTTAAGATTTCCAACCAGGTATCAGCATAACCTTTTACATATCTTGTCGTACTTGAATCTTGACTCGCACACGTAAATATGCATGTGTACAACTATCCTACCAAACTCTGCTCCTTTAGGGGCCATTCATATATTACGTCATCAAACATTCTCGATTTTAGCACCCACCCAGTCAACGCAAACATAAATTGGTAGGGAATTTTAGCATGAACACATAAACCACCCACCCACCAAAATCGTCACATAATATATGGACGTTCCCTATAAAACCTGCTCCATTTCAATTTTACAAAAGTGTTGCCTTAAAGGACATGCAAACCAGTTTATAAACACATGTTCATCACACTTTTCACCAAAATCCCTAACTTGGCCTCGGAAATTTATAATTTAACTAAATAGAAAAGATTACTGTACAAAGTTTACACATTAACATACAAATGGAACCCGAACAAAACTTTGCCAACTTTAGAGAACTAATCAGCCAAATTAATGTTACCTATAAAGATTGTAAATCTTCCCTTGGTCGTGACCCGAGCAATATTTCCAAGGAATTAGAGTCCACCTACATTGCGAAATTGGTCCGTTTTGCCAGGAGCGAGAGTGATGTTCACAAGTGTCTCCGATATCTCGAGGACAAAGTGGTAAGTTCGCATTTCCCTTAAAATTGGACAATTTCCGAGGGAAATTCTTTAGCAGCGGCACGGTTGTGAATGTAAAGGGTGTTGATTTAATTTGTTCCGATTTCTCCTGGCCAAACTTAGAAACTTCAAGGCACATCTTTTTATCAGAGATATGACCTTGCTAACTAGTCTTTAAAGAAATCATGTCCTTAGCTCTATTCCTTTAACTCTGTGATAATTTTAATATGCAAATGGGAGTCGGGTTGCGGTAAAATCAACGGGGCGTATTAAATCAGCAGGCTTTACATGGAAGGAAATTTATCGTGATGGCGAGTAAAATATTTTTTTGATCGACTTTTTGACATATTTTATAAAATTTCCTGAATGTACATATATACTTCCCGCATTAGGATACATGTCCATGTCGACTTGATATCCCGGAAATAACGTCAAAATTCTGCACTTTCGCTTCCGCACCATGAAATCGAGAGCTTCACGAAGCTTCCACTTTATTTACTGCAATCTAATATTGGTGAAATGTACATATGCAATAATGCAAATTTTTGTAACCTGCGCATATTCAAATAATAACAGAATATTCATGGATTTAATTGCATAATTGTTTACAGCCTGGAGCCCAAGATGGACAGTGGATCGTCTTTAGTTGGGCCTATGCTGATATCCTGCACAGAGAAAATGGTCTTCTCCCACCTGGCGAAAGATTCCGAAAAGTAAAGGAATTCTTCACATTTTGCATCCAACACCACGCCAAGGTTGGTCCATTAGTTAATGAATAAATAAATACGTAAATTCACATACACTTTTAAAAATAATTTTACTTCTTTGAACAGTAAAAATCCATATGAAGTAAACAATACTAAATCAAGAGTAACGCAAGGGCAGAGCTTTTTAAATAGTCACGTTTCTAATCAGTTAGTAATTAGTAATTAGAAGAAAAATAGTTCATCAAATTAATTGGTAATTAGTAATTAAACTCAGGTTGCTAATTAAGCCAATTGATTAGCTAATTAATTAGAACAATGATTAATTAAATTAATTAATGAGTCTTAGTGGTTTTCTAATTAATTATTCATAAAAATTAGCTTCTGTGGTATCAGTTAATGTTAATTAGTATTTGATAATTAGTTTTAACATGCCATTTAATTAGATAATTAATTATATTCACTAATTAATTAGAAATCCCTACGCACGGGTAGAGTTTGCGTTGAATTTAGGATTGTTTATTTAATATAAGCTAAAAGTGCTCTTACTTTTCAAAAAAGTAACATTATTTATAAGACTATGAAGGACACACAGCTATAAAAATCGAATAATTGTGAGTATACGTCTTAATTTGTATTGATCAATATTTGCAATATGGATTTTACATAAATATTATTTTGAAGTATAGTGCAAAAAGGATATTTGACCCTTTCCAAACCTTAAAATCCTCTTCTTGTCCTCACCGTCCTTGAAATGATATGATTTTCATATTAGTTTTAATTACAGAATTTACTCGAACTTCACGAGATCATGATGATGCTTGACCACACCGGAAAGATGGGTCCACTTACGGAGGAAATGGTTAAAAAAGAGGCGAAAATAGGTTCCCCAACTTGCACAATGGAGGAAATCATCCTCTCCCAGGCCAAGACTTTTGGAGTAATCTTTCCGGAATTGAATCTCATTGGGCCCATTGCGTACGGAACGGCCCCCGTCAAACAGTCTATTTCCGACTTTTACCCGAATTTAGTACCCGTCAAGAAGGCTAACCCCGGGAGGAGGTCAATTTTCGACAAGAAGGTAACACCCCCATACCTGTTTATTTTCATTCATTTGACTGATTATCAGTGGCGCAATTAGCACATAGGCAGGGTAGGCAAAGCCTAGGGGCCCCGCGACAGCGGGGGCCCCCGGGTGGCCACAGTGTCTACACTAGATATTTTGACTATATATATTTTGATTCAAAATAACTATTTCCAAAATTTTGAAGTAGAAGTTATTTCAAACTATTTAATTAGTTAATTAATTTAATTAATGTCTTGCACTTGTGGTTTTGTTTTTGAGTTATAGCCCAATTCTGCCTGCACATTTTGACAGCTGGTATACGATACCTTCGAATTAAGTTGTGAGTTTTTGTATAACGCGAAGTTTGACGATTTTTCAAAACTCTCCCTCAAGATCAATATGAACGTATGAAATTGTTCAAAAATGTTAACCTTATTAAAAAATTCGAAACTTTGTGAAAAAACATAAAGATATGCCAACTAAAGGATGTGTTGGGCACCCAAAGCAAAAATAAGACCTCTGGGAATTAGTTGAAATCGGTGGAGCTTTTCTGGGAATTTTCGAAAGCAACAGTCGGGATACAAAATCAATCTAGCAAGTTCGGCATTATATTACAACGGGCATAGGACTATGTATCTCTGCAAAATTATCGACGTCAATGTTACGACTGAGGGATACGCTACACTGTTCTATAGCAACGAATCTCTAAGGAGATCCTCAGTTGAGTTGACTCAACTTTAGTTGAATTTAGTTTGAGTCTAGAGTATAACTCGACTCTTTTAAAAATGACCGAGCTGAACAATAATGAGTTTGAGCTGAGTGACGGAAAATAAGTTCGAGTTGACTCACGAGTCAACCCATTAATAATTTTTTTATTGCCAGTTTGGCCATTTTGAGATTTTCACCTTGATCGTTCTCACCGGAAATTTTATTTAAAATTTCATGTTCAAAAGGGATTATTTGCCTTCTTTGTAATGTATTCGTTTAAATAAGTACGTTACTCTTAAAATTGGTGAGTCGACTCATATGATGTTAGTTGAGTTTCAGTCGTTGACATTTGAGTTAAGACGAATTTGAGTCTAGCTAGGTTTGAGTCACGATTTTCGTTATGAGTAATTGATAAGTTATTAATAAGTTGAGTTGAGTACCCCCATTCAGCTTAATTCAATTCATTGACATTCCTACATTCCAGGTTAAATTTCCCGCTGCAAAACCTGGAAGTGTTTTAATGTAGCAGACGATGTTACCTACATAAGTATGTATATTTAACTTTAATTGTTACAGCTTTATCGAAATGAATAATTCAAACATTTTTCTTTAAGATAAACGAATGAACAAGAGGAAATAAATTTCTAGTTACTCCGTGTAGGAAATTTTAAATTTCACGCCTAGGGGCCCCCGAAAAGTAGTTGCGCCACTGCTGATTATGATAGTGAATGAAAATGAAATATGTACCTTTCGTAATACTGAAAATGACTGAAGGATTCCACCATTTTAGTTGAATATGAATGACTGTGAATGAAAGGATTTTTTACTCTACGCTTAATACATGGGAAAAAAGAAGAAATGAAGTTGGATGAAGTGAAGTGAAATGAAATGCATTTGAACTAAAATGATTGAATGCGAATGAAAATCTTTAGTCGAAAATCAGTATGACTTACTTTTGAATGAAAACGAAATTTTTGAACAGGTATCCACACCCCTCGAGGAATTGAAGGAAGTCATGTACCTTTACATCCACTCGTCCACTGGTCTCGAGTTACTACCCTCCTTAATTAAAAAAATGGTGGGCATGCCAATTTTTTCCTTGATGGGAAAAGACCCAGTCATCACAATTTGCGAAATGTTGGACGAAATGTGCAAAAGAGTTTTGCCTGAGCAGCACTCCGTCGTAGCGCTGGTTCTCCTCTGGGTATACGTTGGCGCGTTAGAGCGGCGGAGGATGTTTGACCCAGTGAAATCCGTCAATTTGGTGGACACCCGGCTCGAGGGGGTGTTTAAAATTACGGTGGGGCAAGATAAACATGAGGTAAGCTTAATAGTAAAGGGTGTAGATTTAAATTGTCCCGATTTATCCGGCCAGATTAATTTTGAACATGGTAAACCCGTGCCTAAAAAACGGGTTAAATTTAATGCGCAACGGATTTGGATGAAATTTGCCAATTATTTTAGCCGAATTTTCCACCAGGTTAAAACATTAAACCCGCTGTTTTTCCCGTTTTTGAGATGCAGGTTTTCAAATATTGATGCGACAAGTGGGGACGAACTACATCGACGCCCTTTACATACGAGTTATATCACTTGTGTTTTTAACTTGCAGAATCGTGAACATATTATTAACCTGTGGAATGCCATTTTGTACTTGTCCCCTCGCATGAGTGAATTTCCCATCACGTCCGCCTTCCTGCGCCAAACTTATCCCGACTTGGACTTGCACCTCGGGCAGGATCGAGTCAGCTACAAGCCGCACAAATTCTTTGGCACGATGGTAGGTCAATAATTGACAAAATACAATTTAAAAAAAGCTATATTCTTTTGAAAAGTTAATCCAGTCTACATAAATTGTACATTCTAAATAAAAACGAGTAAAATTTACTCAAGGTTGAATAGCAAGGTGATGAAAAAACAAAAAGGTAAAATTTACCCAACGTTAGACAAATTTTGCACAACGTTATACAAATTTTACTTTTTGGATGTGTCATCCTCTTTTTATCCAATTTTGGGTAAATTTTACTCGTTTTTATTTAGAGTATAAATTACATAAGTTAATTACACGAAATCCAGAATGATCGTTGCCCATAATTAAGGAAACGTTATCCTGGATTTTGTATAAAGGGTGTTGATTTAATTCGTCCAGATCTCTTGTGCCAAAATTTGAAAGGTTCCAAATACCTCAAAACTATGAATTTCGAAGTTTTTAAGATATATTACTAATGTTCCCGTTCTTTATTCTAAGCATGCCTTGAACACTTTTACAAGTAAATGAAAACCCTTTAGTTTGCTTTTCATATACAGAGTAGCACTTATAGAAAAGGTAATATTATGCTGAGGGGTGTACACACATCCCGTCCTCCGTCACGATTTACATAATCGAAATGTTAACTCAGGTGCGACGGAACGACCGTGGACAGGAAAAGGTTGCCACTTTTCCGGAAGTGGTGACAAGTTCACTGGCACAAGGGTTTCATCAATCCACACGGAATAATTCTCCTCCCCCCGTGCCAAATGTTACCCCCGTACTCGAACTGGGAGAAGAAAGTGGTCACGAAACGGATAAGAAATCCAAGGAATTGATTGACTTGACAAATTCCTCAGTTAAAAATGATCCCAATATGGACGTGGATTTCGGGTCCCAAAATCCCACGGTCCGATCAGCACAAAATTCATCACCTTCGGAGCAGATAAATGTGAATCTCGGGCCAGGTCTACAAGCGGACGTAAAAGGATCTGGTCCCCGTGACGAACCGGATTTACGTGGGCTGGGCTCACATGGCGAATTTGATTTAAATGGATCAGGTCCACGTGACGAACTGGATTTAAGTGGATCAAGTCCACGTAACGATCAGTGTGTAACGGGATCCGACCAACCTGATGTAAAAGGATCACTTCCTTCTCCCTCTGACTCCGATGTCCTGTTATTCGTGACGGACCCATACGCCAAAATCAGACTGAATCCGTCGCTCTTCCCTTCAGAAGGTGGTGGTTGGTCGGCGAGTACTCTTCTCCCTGTCGAGAAGAGAAAGATGTCAGAGAAGAAGGGGGACGACCTTCCCGATCCACAACAACCACTTCCGGTCCTGCCGCCAACGGCTCCGGAAGGCTGTACGGAAACCCTGCTCGGGATCGACTTCACTCCAGACGAGTACCTGGAGCAGACGATCGCATACAATTATTACGCACAAGGGATCAAACTGGTTGATGGTGTTCGGCGAGTCGTGTTTTATCACAAGGACAATTTTTCAAGTGTTTTTAACTCATAAAAATAACTTCCTCTTTTCAAGAGTAAATGTACTCTAAATGCTACATATATTACGTGACCGTAAAAACTATGACTTTGTGGATTAATAATTGCTGGATGGTGAAAACATTTCTTATGGATATATTTGTATGTATTTGTTCACTCTATAAATCCTGCGGTGATGATGTATTATTAATGAAAATGTAAAGTGTGTCATACAAATTCCTATCATTTTGAGACTACCTTAATGATTTTATTTTTAAACACTCATATGTACATACGCATTAACAAAATAATAAATATCCGATAACATTGATCATTCAGGGTGCACCTGCAATGTTATTGAATTTTAATGATTAACTAAGGATATTGAAAAGACCTACATAATTATCATACATATGTAAATACATATAATTTTATTACGCTATTGAGGAGTTCTAGAGTGACTATTTATTAGATACATTCATGAATCCTCACTTCACGGCCAAATAAGAAGTTGCGTTAAGGATAATGATCACATGTACATATGTATAATTAGGAAAAAATTGTTGAATTTACCAAAAAGGTATACACATTTCAATGCAGGATATTACATCTACTAATAACCCTCGATACATACATCGAAACAAAGAAAATTTAGATTAAAGATTTACAATCTAGATATATTCCAGTAATTATTGTTTATCCTGTTCAGATAAGATATTTCAGTTACTTATTGGATTATTGCGAAATTGGGTTGACATCGAAATTTCCATTGTCTACCCAAATTTCTCCGTCTACCGAGGGCATAGTCGGGTGCATTATATAAAAAACAGTTTAAACCTATAGGTTGAAATTGCATACATATATTTACATATATACGCGATTTTAAAATCTTGTAGTTTTTGAGCTAAATTCATCTCCATACATAAATACAGTTAAATATCGTTCTCACCACCGGATAATTGTTCGCATGAGTGTGTACATACATATATGTATCATTTGATGGGATACGGGTTACTTGTCGAATCCTATGTCGTCGAAAAGGTAACTCGTCGAAATCAACTTGTCGAATGTAAAACTCGTCAGAAAGGCAAGTCGTCGAATTTAGGTGGCATGAAACTCGTCGAATTTCATGTAACATTTTTACTGAGTTTACTTATGTAATGAGTTCACAAGTATGCACAATTCATGTGCATCGTGGGACGGATATATATACGCTGCGAACATTCCAAAATAATTAAAACACTATACAGCAGTAATTGGGAGGATTGCTTTGTTCTTTTTACACTTATATTTTACATTAAAAATGTCAAATTATTGTATTTTATTAATTTTTTAATTATTGAAGATAAGCTGTTCTGATGGATTTTGAACAAGCAAAGCTGCACACGACAGGTTTCCAGATGCCGTACTTCACGGGTGTCATTTTCACTATACTCAAGCGTTGTTTAAACATTTGACACCCAATTTAAAGAACCCGTACGACCAAGACGTTACAATTGCATTATTAATATAAAAAAATATTCGGTCTCGCATTTGTTCAGCCCCGATGAGTGGCATTAAGAGTGGTATTCCGAGAATCGAAAGTATCGCTCAATTTTAAGGGTCAAACTAAACTCGAACTGGATGAATTTTTTAGTTATGTTCAAAAAACCTACATCGGTACAGTGTACGATCCACCAATGTTTCAATACTCTTCTGGAATGTGCGACGTATATTAGATAATATTTCCAGAACCAGTAATGCAGTGGAGGCCTGGAACAGACGGTTTGGCATCCTCGCTGAGAGTTCTCAGGTAAATGTTATTTTGTAAAATTATAAATTATATTTAGAATCGCATTTTATTAAAAAAATACTCTCGACAAGTATTATTTTCGACCACTTGCCCTAACGACGAGTTACCCTTCAGACGACTCGTCCTCGACGAGTTACTCTTTCTACGACCATGTTTTCGACGAGCTACCCTACACTCTCATTTGATCTATAAATTTCTATTTCGTGCAAGATTTAACGTCATGGTCAAACAAAGTACATATGTATGTACATATTTCCAATCAATGTACATATTTGGTGAAACAAAAATGTTAACGATGTGTTGAGTCCTTAATATTTAACATTATGACTTGGCAAGGATCTTTAGCAGGCCCAAAATTTCTACATTTATTTAAACGTGTCTCTCGGCTGATTCATCACCTGAATAAATATTTGGTTATGAGATGCAGAGATTATGTTTTCGGGCATTCTGCTACGAGTCAAATTAAAGTAACAGTTTCTTTTTGTTACTCCACTTACAACTAATTTGTCCAAAAATACGTATGTCCTTCCAACTAAAATATGTACTCAATCCATCCAAAGCTGATTAAATATTGGCTGGCCTGGTATTTGTTTAAGTATACATAACATGGATTAGTTGGGTTCCTGATTAATCCTGACTCAAAGTCAACATTCATGCCTTTTAAGCTGCATTCTACATGCATCCAAGTCACTGTCCATCTGTAAGTATGTAGATCTACTTAATAAATACTGTAACTCCCTGCTTTTGAGGAAAAGTTATCAAAATCCGAGGGACGCACTCCTGGTGACAAAACGTCCCCTTAATCGTCCCCCAATAATAGAGCACTATTAATCGTACCTCGGGCGGGTGAGGATTTGTGCCCAAATTATTCAGAGTTGACGTCCAGGATAAAAAGGTTGCCAAAAAATAAGTAAAATCCTCCAGCAAGACGCTAATTTTGAGCACCATCTAAAAAATTGAGACTCGCTCAATTATTTACAAATGTGGAAATCTGTTTTTTAAAGAAAATTAGAAACCAGGAAAATGGTCACCTCCCAGGAAATCGTTCAGCCCACTATATTTAGTCCAAATCTCGAACAAATTCAATCACGGCCAAGGGAGGGTCCACTTACAAGGAGGAAAGTCCTCCTCAGTGCTCTCGGTTCCCTTCTCGTCCTTTTTATTGTCATCGTTATTTTTGCGTTTTCATTTCACAAGGAAAGCTCCTCCACTCAGAAATTATTGCATTCCATTGTAAGTGCATATTTTTTATAAATATGTCGCATCAATCAAGTTAGAAATCATGCATGCAACGATGCATGCCATAATTTTGTGATAATTTATTATTTTTGGCTCAAGAGTGAAGAATCTGTCGAACGGTGTCAAGATTTTTACCAGGTTAGTACACTCAATATTTGGCAGTTATCCGTGTCGGTTAACCTCTTAACGACGAGGTAGTTATTTTATTTTCTGTTGACGACAAAATACCAAAATGTGTGTAAATACTTCATAAACCAAAATTTTTACAAATGAGGAATATTTCTTCGGTATTTTGTGGAAAACTCGATGGTGAAAAGTGGATTAATTTCTTCACAAATTTTGGAATTTTCCCTATACCGATCAATGTTAAAAAGTGGATTTTTCGTGTTTTTCGTAAAAAAAACTTGAAAATTGGTAACTGATTGAAAATTTTAATTGATAATTACATATGCCATCAACATTGCACCGAAGGGAAGTTTTAAGGATTTAAAGATGAGTAGAATGAATGAGGTTAAGTATCTCAACGATATTTTTAAAGGTTTTATTCAACTTTTTGCACAGTACGCTTGTGGAGGATGGACTAAAGAAAAAAGAGTCCAGCTACAGATGAAACAGCAGCTTAGGACTTCCATGATTGACGAGATGGGGAAGGATAACCTTGTCCTGTTAAGAAATCTAATAGGTTTGTAAATATCTTTATTTTGATGCAGAGATCAATGCCAGAGGTGAGTTGGATCGTCATTTTGAAAAATCCAATCGATCCAAATCCAACTCGTTTTATACTAAAAATTCAATCCATTTAATTTCTAAACATCACGATAATTACAGAGCGTGTTTCAAGATACAAAACTCACTTTATTTTTTGAGATAATAAGTGTTAGAGACATCTGGGATTATTGAAATTTGCATGTGTTGTACCCAGATAGTCAAGGAACAGTTTGCAAAACAACCCTTAGTTCTGTGCACCAACATGCCCCCACATCCCCCCTCGGAGTGGGAGGTAGTCATAAAAGACTTTTCCAAAGATGAATTGCACCATAAAAAATTGTTAAGGCACTGGCGACAATTGAATTAAACACCAGTCAAACCCACATTTCCAGTGTATTAAATAACACTAGCATAAAGAGGCAGGGATCATTGGCTGGAGTTCCACCTCCACTAAAGTGGCGGCCAAGATTAGCCAGGATCAAGGATGTGTTGCACTAGATTACAAATTTCATTAATAAGGAAAATCCGTCACCACAAAAAAGTATGCACAATGTTGGGGGTGAGCCGGGCAATAGTTTTTAGGGTCAATCACTCTTATTAAAATAGACTAACGCGGACGAGGACGCAGTGTACGCCCCCAAACCGTCTTACATCAAGTTTTTCGACGTAACTTCGAGATAACTGCATGAAAAATAATTTTCCAAAAATAAATTTTAAACTGAAATTACTCTTGACTAGTCGCCTGATTTTATTCCAATTGATTATTTTGGATTTGAGTCCTTGAAGCAGAGATTTTCAAGGGGACGGTTCGGGCGCTAAATGGGTATTGGAAAACTTTTCACGGCGGGTGCAACAAAATCACTCCAAAAAAGTGTAAAATGTGATAATGGAGTGGAAAAAGCGATTGCACCTCGATAGACAAACTAATGGGCTACACATTAAAGCAATTGACAAAATTCACAAACGAAAAATAAAGCTGTAGAAAAAGAAACAAAAGTGAGTTTTGTATCTTGAAACACGCTCTGTAGTAGTTTCGACTAGTCAAAAGATCAAGTTTTGAGCAGCACATGGTGACAACGTGACCTTTGGGTCCAGCTTACTCACACTTATAAGTAGAAGTTCTTATTACTTACAATGCGATGGTGTGAAGTGTAACCCTTCGATTTGGTCGAAATTTTGAAATCACGTGGTCCATGTCAATACTGTCCTTCAGGCAGTTTGTTCGATGGTCAGAATTTGCCAAAATATTTGAGGTCAAAGTTGAAAAATGGGCGATTTTCCGCACGCGGAGGAAGCAAACTCAACTTCCGTTCTCTTCCCGTGCTAAAAATTGAATATTTTTGAATTTGACCTCAAATATTTCGACCAATTCCAACCATCGCACAAACTGCCTGAAGAAACGTTGGTTGTATTGACATGGACTACACAGTTTCGAAATTTCAACCAAATTGGAGGGTTACACTTCACACCATCGCATTGTTAGTATAAAGAATTCAAATCCAAATCAGAGTATAAAGATCAAAGTCCAATCCATTTAAATCCAATTCATTTTATCCTAAAAAATCCAATCCATCCAAATCCAACTTGAAAGAATTGGACGATGGATTATCCCAACAAATGGAAACCCAACGCACCTCTGGTCAACGCCGCCGATGCCATGCCGCCGCGCCGCCGGTAAATTTAATTCCCATTCCTTCATTCAACACTGGAACGCCCTTATGCGCCGATAAATTCTCAAAATTGGCGCCGCCGCCGCCAAATTGGTCGGTGTTGACTTCTGTTTTGAAGCAATTGTATTTTAGAAGTTAAGGTGTATTTATAATCTGCTTTACGAAATACGTGCATGTACTCTTTTAGACGGGCTTCCGGACCAGTATTATAACGGAATCGGGGGGCAAATCAAGAACTCCTTCAACTCTTGTCTGGTCCAGGCGAACAACAACACACAAACTTTGGATACTTCAGAACCACTCCATTCGGCCAAAAACGAGGGACATCGTGATTACCATGATCGTCAAGGTAAATATTCAAATCTTAACCCCAGCCATTTTAAAAACTTTGGTTTCAACTTCGCTCAACCCGAGTGGCTGAGTCCGGTTAAAAATATCTTGGCCCCCCTCAGACACACGACAAAATCGTCGCTTCAAATTTCGCTTTGTTTTTCGCTTATCGATAGCATGGTAAAAATTATGAAAATTGTAAAATTTTGTTCCGACTTCAGCTAAGCGACGTTAACCCCACTTCTGAGTTGAGTTTCTGGTCGCTTACCCAAAATTCGCTTATCCGAAAGTAAGCGAAAAACCTTATAGAAAACCCTGAAATATTTGCATACATATGTAAGTATGTAAAATGTTTAATCAATTACCCAAAATAGGTATAGAAATATTTTTTAATTCGTTTTAAATTGCTTCAAATTTAATGGATTTAACGGCGAAAATGCTTAAAAGAAGTATTTTTAAAAGTAGCAAACTAACACTTCCACGTGCTCTGGTGGCATTTCATTTGAAATCCATAAGTAATAATACATATGTATCCCAAACTCTCAGTTCAATCGGGTTGTTATTGGAAAAAGTTTAAAATACATATTTACATACAGAAGGGTTTGGCACTTACGTGGATACGAATTTGACCCTGAATAACCCCGGAACGGTTTGTCGCAGCGGGTCAAAATTTTGGACAGACGAGCATGGTATCCTCAGATAGTTGTGTGCAAAATTTCAACTCTCTACTTTCAAAAATGCCTCCTCCACAGCCCCAGAACTTTAAACACTCATTTTTATTCTTTTTAAACTCGGTCTAAAAAATTTTATCTCCACAGAAAAATTTTATTTTCAAGTATCCGAACCCAAATAAGGCTGTTTGACTTACATCGGCGGACTATACAGGTATTTCACTATTCGAAATGATTTTTATCCCTAATCTAGCTTCAAGGTCCTTTGCATTATCTTGGGTGAACTTTGCCGTCTGGGAAGACGTTGCGTGATCATGAAAAATCACCATATTTATTATTTTACCGCACAATTTAGGAAAACTTTCTACTAAAGGCGGTTTAAATACACGGTCTACATAATACTTTGCAGGTTCCTTCATTTTTCGGGGGACTTTGATAAGTGGGAGGACACCACGACCCGACATTGCACCAACAACCATAAACTGTTCAAAAAAGTTCTCCTCACTGAAAAGCACCAAACTTCTTGAATTTGTTTTCGGCATTTGTCGTGTAGTAAGCTCTTCGAACCCAATTAGTAACTTGTAGAGAAAATAGTTCTTGGTCAAATGTCGCTAAAAACTCGCTCTCATTCCTTGACAGAAAATTTAAATAATTTTTTTTGTAAACACGGTAAGATTTTTGTTGGAAAAAGTTGAAATGGCTGTCTTAACTTCTAAGGGCTGTGGGGGAGGCATTTTTGAAAGTAGAGAGTTGGAATTTTGCACACAACTATCTGAATACCATGCTCGTCTGTTCAAAATTTTGACCCTATACGACAAACCGTTCCGGGGTTATTCAAGGTCAAATTCGTATCCACGTACGTGCCAAACCCTGTATATGTAAATAATCTGGAATAGATATGTAAATATTACCGAAAAGCACAAGTATATGACTCTACCAAAGTTGTAGTGGTAAGTTGTACTGTGTGGTGATGGCTTCGTAATAAAGTCTTACCATCATGGTAACAAATTTTTACTGCCTGGTAAAACATTATTACCAATTTATTACCTAGAAATCATTATCTGCGTGACTTTACCGGATTATTAAGAGCGCACATAACCAGACTGTGCACTCAAAATAAAATGTTAGAGACACATAGTCATTCCGCATTGTAATGATTTATTACCAACTAATTTTGATTGTACCCTCTCAATCACGGCCTAAAACACGATAAAATTTTTAGTCAGGATCGACCCCTTGGTCGAGTGCCTTGGAATGATTTCTTCGCACTATCCCGAGATGGTTGCTCACCTCTTTGTCCAAGCCCACTACTTGGACGACCCCGCCACCGCTCGTAGCGTCAAACATGTGGCGGACGCCTTGCGGGAAACGTTCCAAACCGCAATTTCCTCCTTGTCCTGGGTGGACGCAGAGTCTAACAAGGGACACTCACGACCTGTCGTTTGAGTCCAGGGTACCCACTATGTTTTTTAGAATCTACTAGGACCCCTGATGAAGGATTCATTCATATTTCCGTGTAAAACTCATATTTGGCCCAATGGCGTGGCGCCAAACTTAAAAATTTGCATTTTCGACCAATTTCAAACCCTCATAACTTTTGCAGTTTATGTCGGATTTTTAAAATTTTATGCTTAAAATGATCACAAAAGTCGAAATTTTAGAGAAAAAAATAAAAATAAAAAATTTTTAATTTTTGAGATATTTTTAGCATTTTTTCGACGAACCCAAAATTTCGAAATTTTGCGAAAAGTTAAAAGCGATAATTTTGGAAAAAATTTCATAGAATACGAAAGTTGAACTCCTTGTCATGATTTTTGCCAAAAATTTTGAAAATCCGTCCAGGATTTCAAAAGTTATGGCGGTTTTAAAATGTAAAACCATCAAATTTGGCGAATTTGGCGCCACGGCACAGCGCCAAATATGAGTTTTACACGGAAATATGAATGAACCCTTCATCTGGGGTCCTAGTAGATTCTAAAAAACATAGTGGGTACCCTGGACTCAGACGACAGGTCGTGAGTGTCCCTTGTAAGACGAATATGACGAGACGAATGGAAAATCTCTCCATGATTCTCGGCGCTCCGGACGAAATCAAGAACGAGACCTGGATCCAGCAATTCCATTCAAAGGGCAACATTTCCGACATGTATGATCTCAACCATTAACCTGTTCACCTTCATTCATGTGATAGATAGAGAATGATAGGAATGAAAATGAATTTTCTGTGATTTGAATGAAAATGAATTTTCTATGATTTGAATGAAAATGAATTTTCTGTGATTTGAGTGAAAATGATTTTTTCTGTGATATGAAAGAAAATGAATTTTCTGTGTATTTGAATTAAAATGATTGAAAGATTCGTCATTTCAGATGAGTGACTGTTAATGAAAGGAATTTTTGCTCTTTACATTTTTCACCCTATGCTAAATACAGTGGGCGAATTAACAAATGAAGCCAGATGAAGTTAAATGAACGAAATGAGTTTGAAAGCAAATGACTTAATATGAATGAAAATCTTCACTCGGAATTCAGAATGATTGAAACTTGAATGAAAATAAACCTTTTTAATTTGAGCTTGAATTTTTTTGAACAGGTATGATCTCAACACCAATAATATTGTCCAGCTCGAGAAATATGCGGCAACGTTAGTCAACCGTCAAATGATTGCTGGAGTTGTTAGCCCGGCTTCCGTCTTTTACTGGTACGGGACCAAGCAGGTGTTTCTCCCCGCGGGGCGGGTGCAACGGCCCAGCTTTCATCATGAGTTTCCAGACTTTAAAAAATTCTCTGGGATAGGATTCACCCTCGCGCATGAACTCGGACATGCCCTTCATGCCTGCATTGTTGGTGAGGAATGAAATACGTTCATATTTCCAGACGCATGTAACTAAAGGGTGAAACCAGTAGGGCGTATCAAAACGAATATGGAACTGTTTTTGCGTGGTGAAAAATTGTTAAATTGACTGACATCTTTTCAACGCTTGGGACAGATGTATTTATCAAATTCAACATTTGATGACCTGTCCTGTGACCCTTAAGGGCAAAATGGTGATCACCATTGAATTCGTGGCTAAATCTCCTATGAGACTGACTGAAGAGTTGACAAACTATCTGTGACCTCTAGGTGACGCTATGTGACCTTTGATGTCAAAATGGATATCACAAGTGAGTCAGGGGTTAAACTTCTTTTTAGGGTTGACATTTATATGTCAACTTTAACATTTTGGGTGACTTTTGACATTGGTTTTAATAATTCATGACATGTATTCATGTTCCAAATTTCAAGGCAATATGTTGCACGGTTTTTGTGTTATCGCGCGGAGAAGCAAATGTACAGCCGGACGTGTAGACGGATATCAGTCTAATCTAGGGGCTTTACCCTTTAATAATTTATCCTGATTTCATTTTACACTTCTTTATTCCTTTTTTAGATGATCCGTTGACCAGCGCCGCCCCAATCACACCTTTCGTGAGCGACTGGACAAGGAAGAATTTTCTTAATTTGACTTCTTGCGTGGGAAAGCAATACAGTTCGTTTGAAGTTGAGGTGAGAAACGTTCCCTCAGACTTGATCGTCAATGGGGAGCAAACGTTGAAGGAAAATGTCGTAGATATCCTTGGAATCCAGATTTCCTTCAAGGCATTTATGGAACATGGTGAAGTCTCATCTTCCCCAGTCCACGAGCAATTTCCGCACTTGGACTTCTTCGGTTGCGATGAGTTTACGAAGGAGCAACTGTTTTTCATATCGTTTGCGCAAGAATGGTGTGAAGCCTATGAGAGTGACCAGATTGAATATGAAAGGTTAACCTCTCAGGTGCGAGGGGACACCCACGCCCCACATTCGGTCAGAGTTATGGGGATGTTGGCGAATTTTGAAGAGTTCTCGAAAGCTTTTCATTGTCCGGTTGGGTCAAGGTATAATCCCGAGGAGAAATGCGGATTTTTTAATATATGATTATGTATGTGTATGTATATAATGAGATATGTAGAAGTTAATAAATACGTCACGCGTGTAATAATGTACAAGATTGATACGCATACAAAAAAACTGAATTAAATCAGTACGTTTAATTTACGTTACGTTGTACGTTTAATTAATTAGTTCGTGTAATAAACGTGCACAAAAGTATGTATCTTCAATCTTCTGAATAAAAAGAGGAGAATCAATACAGAAAGGTCAGAATCTTTATGACAGAATTATCATAAATATAATTTGATTCCGCAAAAGTTTGTACAGTAACTACATATATATTTATTACATGCATGAATTCGTATTTCACATCCAAATAATAAGTTAAGTTAAGGCTAATGAACATTTATGTAAATGAATGATCACGATAGGACAACTGAGTACAAGGTATAAGGTACAAGGTACATATATTTATATCTCGAAGTCCCATCTAAAACTCAATACGGATATGTATATATCCACAAAAATTTATAAGATTAAATTAAGAAAAGTTTGATCCTCTGAAGGTATTTCATTGGTGCTCCGTGTGAAGGAGTTTACCAAAACCAGGCATCTGCGTAAAATTATGATATCTATGAACAATTAGTGTATTTTTGAGGATGGATTATGTTTTTATTTCAGGAGCTCAACTTTATTTACATATGTTGAATTAGAACCAGTAATCTAATCTGAATCACATCCCCCTCCTCCGCCCGAGTAATCATCATCAAAATCAAGAGTGTACCCAGCTGCTCCAGTTCCCCTTGCTAGACTTAAAATCGCCAAGGGTCTCGCCAACATATCTTTGATCGTGGTCGCATTTGCTTCGAAAGTTCTTGTCGCAGTCGCGTGACCAGTAGTGATCAAATTCTGTCTCTCCGTGTCCAAAGAGCTAAGTTCCACGCCGATACAGTTTACAAGCCTAACATTTTCCGCATTCTTGTAAACTCGAATCAATTCGTGCCCCGTGGATAAAACAGGGACTGCCAAAGTACCCCCGATCCAGCGACAATTACCGACGGTTGAATTACTCGAATCGATATTCACCACCCAGTCACCCCTCGGCCGTTGGTATCCTACCGTAATCACGTCGTCCACAGTGTTGTTCGAAGCACCAGGTAGAAAATCAATCGCGGTAAACTTTTCGTTTAACTTTGCCTTGATGGCTACAATTTTTGAAAATTCGTTATATCCTCCATGAATTTGAATACCGCAAACCACATTTATTCCAGTAATATTGGTAGCCTTGTTATGCGAGGAAGCGCGGGAAATACGAATCCCTTCAGAACCCACATTTTCCATGTTCAAGCCTTGAATCTTGTTGAAGCTTCCGGCAATCCAGATTCCATGATGGGTGTCAGAAATCGATAAGTTTTCTAAAATGTTGTGGTCGCCTTGAACTTTGATTGAGTGGAAATTCTCACTTACGTTTAAGTTTTTCAAGGTATTCCTTGATCCAATTAGTTCTACCCCGGTTGGTTCATTGTTTCCGGAGGATACGGCGAGCGCAGAGAGAGTACAGTTATCCCCGACAATTTTTATACAAGAGGAGTCTTTCTCGTAAAGAGCATAGCTTTTCTTGCCTTGGAGGACCGTACCGAAACCTTGTCCTTGGATTGTGACGCCATTTTTTTCGAGAACGAATTCTCCCTCGTAAAAACCTTCACTCAGGTAAATTATACCCCCTGGCTTAACTTTGGCTAGACAACGGAGGAGCTCTTGGCCCGATTGTGCCGTGAGAGGCCACGCCGCAGTTAGTTCCAGAGCCTCGTTTAGATTCATGGCTTGCTTGGTCAAGCCCTCAATTAAGCTTTTAACGCCTGGCATATCTGGATGGTCCAGGACAACTGGGATTTCTTCAGGGTTCTGTAACTTTTCAAGTAATTCATCCCTGTCGGAAGGTTGTATTAAGTGTACAACTTGCCACATCACTAAGCCAAGGGAAACTCTGTCTGCGTTAGATCCATTAAATTTTTCTTCTCGGGAATTTTGCAACTCTTCAGAATATGGTTTTTGGGAGTGACCGAAATCGCCCAATTTTACGGGTAGCTTGAAATATTCCGCGGTGAACATGACGTTCTCTGGTTTTAAGTCGCCGTGGACAATGTTTTTGTCATGCAGGTATTTCAACCCGGCTATCAAATTTTTACAGATTTCCATCTGTTTGAAGTATATAGGTGGCGTTGGGGCGGATTCTCGTACCAGATTTAACCATTGTGACAAATTTTCCCCGCATAGCTCCATCTGAATGCAGAAGGTTTCCACATTTTTCTTTGTTTTTAATCGCTCCTCAATCCGTTCGAATGAGATGTAGGAAGAGTCACGGATTTTTTGAAGTAACATTTTGAATTTGCGGCGAGTGTATACTTTCCTCCCGAAATTTAGGGTTTGTACAATATTTTCATGCTTGACCAACTCAGCTGCTCTGCCATGCTGGAGGAGGAGGCGGGGTTGTTCGTCGTCTTCTATGGGAAACAGGAATTTAATTGCTGACTTATTTCTGGATGCATCACTGGCCTTGAGGACGATTCCGTAGCGCCCATGGGCAAGACAGGAGTCGTAGGATTTGATTTCTTTGATGAAGTTGGGGGTAGAGTGTAAATTTCCCATTTCAATTGGAAAAAGTAGGTACAAAAATGCTGTATTTGTATAATGAATGTTTTACTTCTTTGATAAGCCAGTTGCCGTTGTCCAGGAAATGACGGCGAGATATAATTCCAGTAATTAGTTATTGCAAAATGTTTATCTTGTTCGGATAAGATACGTACTCAGTTATTTTCACGTAGTCATTCCCTGAGTACAATGGAATTGGCAAATCTGTAATCAAAATCCAATACCAATTGGTGGGCGGTTTGACCTAAAAGGTGGAAATTTTGACACAGTTAATAAACTTCGTATATACATAATTCATCCTGTAAAAAATCGCAAAATATGATGAATTCAGTATGTAAAAATCTAGTACAGGTTGGGTTAATGACAAATATACATGATTTGGAATATTACCTGCGGAATTTAATTTCGTGAACTACTTACAAAATCACCACAGCTCGAACATCACTGCAAATACGATATGAACCTGATTTTGTATTGTTAATGACAACTTGACTTGGCCAAACTCATTCATTTGTCCTTTATCTGTTTCTGATAGTGATATCTCCATCGCAATGACGATACATATTTACGAGGGGAATACAGCGCGTTACGACTTCAAATTCTCCAATTCTTGGTGAACAATTTGAAATAAAATTTTCAAAGTAAACTCCAGTTTTCGCGACTTTGTGAACTAGTTACTGTTTTGAATAAATGTCTTGGAAGGGAATGAAGACTGATTCGATTTTTATAAATCCCTCTTCAAAAATAAGCTTCAAATTATCTTTCAAATTTTTAAGAACATTATTATATTTCAATTCTTAAACTGCACGCGATGTGCGACAGAAATAGCCAGCTGACACGTGAAATCTCATTGGGCTGACAAGGGAAGGTCCCCGACTGCTTATCATGTCCAGGGTACCCACTATGTTTTTTAGAATCTACTAGAACCCCAGATGAAGGATTCATTCATATTTCCGTGTAAAACTCATATTTGGCGTCGCGCCGTGGCGCCAAATTTGAATGTTTTTATTTTTGAAACCGCCATAACTTTTGAAATCCTGGAAGGATTTTAAAAATTTTTGGCAAAAATCATGACAAGGGGTTCAACTTTCGTATTCCATGAAATTTTTTTCCAAAATTATCGCTTTTAACTTTTCGCAAAATTTCGTAATTTTCTTAGAAATGGGGGTTCGTCGAAAAAATATCTAAAAATATCTAAAAAAAAAAAATTAGTAATTTTTTATTTTTATTTTTTTCTCAAAAATTTCGACTTTTGTCAACTTAAGCTTTTGACTTAAGCTTGTGCCTTTTGTCAACTTTTGTCAATTTAAGCAAAAAATTTTGAAAATCCGACATAAACTGCAAAAGTAATGAGGGTTTGACATTGGTCGAAAATTTAAATTATTAAGTTTGGCGCCACGCCATGGCGCCAAATATTTTAGTTTTACATTTTTATTTTATTTTAGTTTTATTAGCTCGCCCTGCGTAGCACGAGAGCTATTGAATTCCTCTTGTCCGTCCGTCCGTCTGTCTGTGTGTTCACGAGTTTTTTGCATCAATTGATGCTAATTAATAATCCCCTTGACCATTATAGAATAAATTAGGCGCACCATTGGTATCGAACAATCCGTGGCGCAAATGGTGCGAATTAATTGTGCAAATGGATTGAGAAAGCACTACACTTTTGGAATAAGTAGCACCGTTCGTATTGAACAGTTGGTTATCCAAGCTGATGCGAAACAATTGAATGAGCATCAATTGACTCTAACTAGAATGGATCAGGTCCATTTTTTCATAAATTAATAGCACCGTTGGTATCTGACAATCGGAAACACCAAATGATGCGAAAGAATTGGGGGCTTTGATGCATAACGCACGAATAGTGCATAGTACTCGGCGGATTTTATTTGACAATTCTGACATAAATTTTTCAAAATTATCGGTGATCGTTGGTAGGTAATTCTGCACCAGTGATGCACAATTTTTGGACTTTCCTCGATGCATAATAATTATTGATCTATGTTGTATAATATTTCTGCACCATTGGTGCAATGTTGCATAAACATTATTGCTCTACTTTGTTGGATTTTTCTGCACCATTGGTGCATAATTGCCAAAAACTAATGTGTCTATTTTGTTGCATTTTTCTGCACCTTTGGGGCAAGTTACAACCAAATCATTATTACAGGGTGAGCTACTTCTAACGTTACTACATTTTGCCCCATTTCTTCTGTACCATTAGTGCAATTATATACAGGGTGTTAATAAAGTCCGATCCCATTTTTCCTGTAAAAAAGTGAAGGCTAGTATAAAAAAAAACTACCCGTGATACTTACAAAAAATGTTCGACATATTTACCTTAGTATTTGGTCTTGTTACCATTTACTTTAACCATGCCCTCAACTCTTTGTTTAAGGCTCTGTGCTAATTTTTCCAATGTGCCTCTGGAAATCGAATTCCATACATCTTGAACTTTTTTTTACTAGCTCTTCCCTCGTCCGGGGTTGTGGCTCTTTGTATACATTTTCCTTAAGTATGGACCACTGGTTCTTCAGGGGATTCAAATCTGGGCCGTTAGCGGCCCACACCCCCTTGCTCCAGACCGTTGAAACTTGCGTCTTGATGAGACTCAAACTCGCTTTTGCTGTATGGGCTATAGCACCATCCTGCATGAAAACTATTTTTCTTTCATTCGGAAATATTTCCTTGTTCCCCATGCTATCGAAATAGATAGGTAATATTTTTTCCATATAATGCTTTGCATTGACTGATTGGCCTTTTGGTATGATATGTAGAGGGGTCACGCAACGTGCACAAAATCCACCCGCTACCATAACTTTAAGCCCGAATTTTGGGATCGCTCTTGATGGTACATCCGATTTGTTTTCTGTCCTGTAACGAACATTTTGTTGGTTCAATTTTGGATATAGTTCAATAATAGATTCGTCAGTCCAAAGGATGTGACTGCGCAATTCTTCACCAAGTCTTTTTTCACTCAAATGGGCACTTTTCTGAAGGAGTTCTTCAAATTTCAGACGGTCATCGATATATTTTTGTGACATGAGAGGTTTTTTTGGTTAGTTTGTAAGCTGTGTGACCCCACTTCGTAGTTTTCACAAATTTTTGCACGGTCACACAGTTAATTTGCTTCTTCTTCTCTTTATAGCGTTTTGAGTCATTTAACTCCCTTGCTCAATTACGTAATGAACTACCGGTTTTCTTGCAAAGTCTGTTTTTAATCATTCTTTTTGTGGTAGGTGACACCTTTCTGGGTCGCCCTGGTCGCTTTTTGTCGTGGACAAAATTTTTATTCTTCCATTTCCAAACAGTTCTGCGGCTGCAGCCCAATTTTTGCACAATTTCTGTAGGTTTAAGCCCCTGCTGATGCAATGTTTGTATCTCAACTCTAAGATGCTCATGACTTACACGTTTAGTTGTTCCTCCCATGGTAAAAATTTGAAATAAATAACTTCACTGGTTCAAAAGTTCCAGCTGAATTTGTAACAACCACGCTCCAAAAAATGCATGGGATCGGACTTTATTAACACCCTTTATGAATAGCATGGTTCTATTTTATCCGATTTTTCTGTACCATTGGTGATCGTCAAACGTACTTTTCACTTCAAATTACTTGCATGGTTTTACACAACACCAACTGGGTTTCGGCTCTCTATAAGCCCAAGACAGGTCGCTACTCCCGTTCATCAGGTAACCAGCCAGGTTACGACCCAGTGCGATTTCTATTTATGAACCCATGACATCTTACATCGCATCTGGGCCCTGGTAATGTCAACATTACCAGACCATTTGAAATGATAATTTTATTTCTATTTATGAACCCCCTTACCACTCGCCATTAGATGCCACTACCTGTCCCAGTCAGTATCTCATTTGGGAAATAATTTCCTTGTACTTAACTCCGACCAGGAGTGCACTCAAATGAGACACTATTAATGACTTGGGACACCCTAATCTCGATGACTTCATTGCAAAAATGCAATAAAATACACCTACCTTTTTTAAACGAACTTGGGTAACTTTGAACCTTGATGTATCGTTTGAATCTGAAAAAATCAATTAGTGAACCAATCAAATAACTTGGATATTCCGATTGAACCAAAAAGATGAAGATCTGAAAATTGAATAAACTTAGATTAAATACATATATGACCCTAAAATTATATAAGGGCTGGTAGTGGCATACAGGGAGAGGTAATGCAAATAATTTTATTGTCGTTTTCAGTGATTATGATAATGATGCATATTTTTATGAGCTAGTTCTGGTAATGTGTATTCCAACATTATCAGGGCAGCGTGATGATGGTAGAATGCCATGTATGAATCAAGTTTTGTTTACCATTTTTGTGACCTTTCGTGAAGCTAGTTTTGGTTAGTATCATTGTATGAGCCATGTGCCCTGGTAATGTGTATTTCAACATTATCAGGACAGCTTGATGATTGTATGCACTGTATGAATCAAGGTTTATAAGAGATGCATATTAACTACATGTTATGACAATGGTGACTTTACGAGAGGTTAGATAGTTTTGAAGGTGGAATTATGTAGATTTGTATAAGAAAATATAGCTATCGCCAACGCAGTCCGTCGAAACATAAACATTGTTATCATCATAGATTATCCAATCATTTTCACGTCTATAATTAACAACATAATGTCCTGAGTTTAAGGAATTGCCCAAATAACTAACTATAAGTGTCAAAGCGTATACATTATCCGAGCCAGGTAACGTAAGAACATCTGATGCATACGACTTCTCCGTAATTTTTGTACCTTGATTTGTAAAAATTTTCAGATTAATCACTAACGTTCTTGGCGCCAATATCAGGTTAGATTTGAAATTAACCAATCCTGAGAACTTACAGTTCTCACAGAGATATTCCTGCTGCCCGGTGAAGTGATTATTAACGCACTCTTGTAAATTTTGCGTTGACCTTCCGATGGATAGGGAAGTACACGATTCATTTCTCGTTCCTTTACTTTTACAAGTGCACGTAACCTCAGTTTCTATAGTGGAAATATATTCCTCTAGAGATAAACCAGAGTTGCGTAAGTTCTGCAGGAGGTCAAGGAGAAATAGATGGGGGTCATCTTGCATTCCAATTGAGTATGATGGCATGCATTCAACTAACTCCAGCCTGGTGCTTCTAAGGTGGCTAAGTGAAACTGGGGTGACTAATGCGTGAAAGAATCCTATTAGACAACGAGATAGACGATCTTCATTACATTTCAGAAATGCTTGAATGGAAGGAGATTCATAGATTACGTGAAGAATTGTGCTAATGTAGCATGTATTTCCTAAATTTGGAATTCCGAGATGAATTGAAGGGGTTGGTTCGGAAATTACAATGTCTACAGATAAAGCTTCGTTCTCTATGTCCATTTCCGAGTCCTCGGGTTCGTCGCCTATGTCATTTTCGCTTACATCTACCTCCATTAATTCGGTGTGGCAATCTTCTAATTCCACATGTGAAGGCAATATATCTACATCATTTGGCCAAGTCACACAAATTGGTTTATGATAGCTAAAATAGCTTTCGTAGAACCAAGCTGAAACGCCATTCACATTAGAAAGACATGCATCTATCGCTGTATTCCCATCCGTACTACTTTCTAAAGGAGTTATTAATCTGAAACCCATTGAAGAAAAAATCTGCCTCATTTGACATCCATCTTGGGTTAGAAAATTCAGGTTGAAGTCGCCGAAAACAATCATTGGAGAGCCTTTTGTGCTAGTTAAAAGATTTCTGATGTCCTGTAGAAAACTCATCGTCCTATATTGAGGACTACGGTATAACATGCAAATTCTTACAGCGTTTTGAATCCATCGAACTATTTGCAAATGTTTAGTGACACTTAAATTTCGATGTGAGTATTGAAAATCTGATATGCTCGCAGAGAATGAGTCACTTCTAAACACCAGTGTTCCAATAGATGACTGCATAGACGGTGAATCTATTCGATGCAAAAGTGTAAATCCAGGCAGTTCTACCATATCTGAAATCAATGTCCGAGTTTCACAAAAGCATTGCATATCAGCTTCCATGTAGTTTCTATCAGCAACAATATCGTCATAGTGTGCGCGGAAAGACTGAATGTTGTGGAATACGAGTTTATTGGGATCATCTAGGTCTGGTAAATATCTGAGTGAATATGGGAATGATAATTTTCGCAACCTGGAAAGCTCTAATGCTACAGGATGCCTTAAAGTATCGATTGCACGTGGAGCATTGAAAGTACCGCCAATAAATAATCCTGATAACGAAGGTGCCCGACTCATAGCTACATATATCGCATCCCTTCTCAATCCTCGAGTTGGAATATTGGCAACTGTGTTTGGGATAGACAGACTCTGTGATTTATGGATGGAAATAGCATTAGCAGCAACCAGGGGAATTTGACGGCGAACAATTTGCATTCCTTGATAGTGCCCAAAACTATTTAATGCCTTGGTTTCCGAGAAGATCGGGGTCCAATGCAGCGGAATTTCTAATTGTTTGAGTAATCCTAAGTTATTTGCCCTTGCCAGTTGTCCTACCAATTTCTCCGAGAATTCCATAAATACAATCTTAACAGCTTTCTGCCCGTTAGTTAATGGCTTTTCAATTACACTCATTAATTTTCCTGTAGCACCATTAAACAATCCACCAGATACGTCAATATTTGTTGTAATCATATAACGAAGGCCGACTCTCAAAGCTACGTGGTATGGCATTCCTCCGGTTTGCTGCAAACTTAAATATTCGGCGAACTCCAACATTGCTTGTTGGGAGGCTAGAATCTTTCCACCCTGCACTCTATCTATGGCATATGAATTGTACAATGGCCCCTTTGCTCGATTTATCGCTTCGCGATTAAATTTATCGCAATCTGCGTTGCTGTAAAACAACCATGTTGCATCATCTGGAACAATTAAGTTTTTTCCAATTTCTCTACTCTTGAACATTTGGATATCTTCTTCTTCAAGCATTCCCATGGACAGTCTATTTAGTGCAGTTGCAAACTTGGCGTCATCTTTTTGCCTCATGATTTCCTTAAGCTCAAATAGTCTAAATCTATTCCAGAGTGGATTTCCAATGATCGGGCCTAAAATTTCTTTGCTATCCTCGAAAACAAATTGTCCAAACACCGGACTAAGCTGATAGAAATCACCTACGACCAAGAGGCTAACCCCTCCGAATAATTCATCGACGCCTAAAATTTGTCTCAATCTTTGATCAATTTGGGTGAACATTTTCAAGCTAACTAACGAAATCTCATCGATTATCAAAACTTTTAAAGCCTCAAACTTACATCGCAAGGTATTGCATGAACCATGATCCAGTGGAGTCATTTTTCCTGCGTATTGATTGGGTGGGAGTCTAAATGCCGAGTGCAATGTCATACCAAAAACGTTAAATGCAGCTTTCCCTGTTGCTGCTGCTACTAGCACACGAATTGCTTCACCACTTAATCCAGGTTCCTTGTCCGACATCCTAATATGCACTGAACTATTGCAGTAATTAATCTACTCTTTCCTACACCGGCCTGCCCATGAATTACGTGGAAATTTTGTCCCGATCTTGCTTTCAAATTATGCAAAAGGTTCAATAAATATCTTCTTTGAGATTCGTTCAAAGTCTTCATTAACTTGAGGTAATCGTCTGTTGGTATCAACTTAGGAGGTCGAATAGACATAAACTTTGAAGTTGAGTCCCCTAACTCAACAGCAAAATCTTGGTCTTCGGCAATGAACTCGATTGGAGTATGGTCGACCAAAGCATTGTCAAAAGTTTCCTCATCTCCCTGTGCCATACTGAGTCCTACCTCTAGCTCAGTTTCAAGAAAACATGGATCATATATTTGTCGTTTTTGTGTAATTTGATCTAAGAAGTTTTGATAAACTGAAACATGATCAATATCAAGAAGATCTGTGTTTTCATCCCGCCATGGTACATACAGCATAATTTGTTCTCTATAAAAATTCTCAGGATCTTGATGGAGACCGAATCTGCGATATCGGATAATTCGAGAAGTTGTTCTCTCAGTTATGTACCCACTATTGTCAATCAGACTTAATGAGGTGATCGGTTGATTAATTTGCTTCCGCAGAGAAGAGGATACTTTGGTAAAGTTATAGTTTGCAACGTAATCAGCTAAACAAAGATTATCCAATGCCCTTGGCCTCACTACATAACGTTCTAAAATTCCTTTGAGAGCTATGTCGCATGAATCTGGATCCATTTTCTCAAGTTCGTCGGCAGGCTTAAAGAAAATTACCCTGTCGTCAGGTCTATTCGTATTGATAAATGTTACGTCACGCGAACTTTGTGTCATAGGAATTTTTAATAAACAGCAAGCGGCCTCTTGAGCCGATACCTCTGAGGATTTCGCAAAAGCATTGGCATGAGCCTAAATGAGCTTAAACGTTCTTTCAAACTAAAATTACCGTCCCTAATTTCCTTGCTAACCTGTCGTAAAAGTTTCGATACGCCTCGATCTGACTTGCTTATGTAATTCACAACATAACTGGCACAAGAATAGGGATCCAAAACAAATTGAATGTCAATGTTTGCTCGCCAGCATAAAAGAAGCTTCTTATTATATGCATTTATGTAAATTTCATGGGTTCCACGTCGAAGAAAAACTTTGGGAATTTTGAGGTTGGAACGAATTGAGAAAATATAATTTTCTTCAGTAAGATCCAGATCTTCAAGAAACCCTCAATTTGAAAGGAGGAGGAGGAGAGGCGACAGATTAAACTAACTTACTATATTATTAATTATTCTGAGGAGTTTCTTAATTGCAATTATTTACCTCTATTATTTTTTGGTTGGGAATGAAATGAAAGAAATCTGGAGAGCGTTTCCTTATTACAGATGACGGAGGAACTCCCGCTGATATTTTTCTCATGTGGACCACTCTCATTACAAAAATGATGAAATTTAGGATCCTTAGTGATTATTATTTTTCAGAGATGAATTATCTTTATTTTTTATTTCTCCCGTCATAAAAAATGTGTAGCTTAGTTTTAATAAAAATTGATACAAATACAAATAAATGACTTTAATTTTATCAACATTTTACTCCCCATCTCAATCACTGTCTTCTTCATACGTCGTCTTTTTCACCTTCTTTAAAACCGTATAGTCTCGAGAATGGTATAATCCCGTATAATATAATATCGATTCTCGCGAAGATCACGATTTTGTGTTTCGTAGCGAGTTCAGTTAATCTTTTTAGTTCGGCTGCTGATTCGAATTTGGCGTCTTCTTCGGTGGGAGGGGGAGGGTTTGCGGCCAGAATTTCAGGCCAGGGAATATCTGGCTTAGATCTTAGCTTTATTTTTAATGCGATCTGTTCAAATCGTCCCCAGCGTTTGCGACGTTCCTAGAAAAAAAGAAAAAACGTAAATTCCTAGTAGAAATTTTCTATTATAAAATCAATAAAATAAGGCTGTTAGATTGTACCTCGGCATAAAATAGATTACGTGCCAACTTGGTTTTACCTAACAATGGGTGGCTTTCTTTGTTTTACGCGTGCTTATCGGTACGGGAGTTAAGTTTTCTGCTAGAGCAGTACGCTGAAACAATCAGATCAGAAAATGAAAATAATTAATTTAATTATTGAATTTATGTATAATCTGTAAAAAATTTTAATTCGCAAGGTCATAACTAATTATACAATTACCATACTTCGGATATTTATTTACAATCAACCTCGAAAAAATTTATTTTTTATTTTCGTTCAAAACCCGAAAATATTTTCTTAAAAATTTTTTTATAAAGTTATTTTCAGCTGGATATCTAGCTAATTTATGGTATAAAAGTTGAATTTAAGGTTGAAAATGACAACTGTAACGTATTCCAGTGATTTTCTGAGGTCTTTACAGTGAAATTTTCTTAAAAAAATTGAAATCAGAGTCTACTCCTGTGAGGGAGCTAGAGAGTTGGATCCAAATTCGACCTGACTAACCCGATTCATAAAAAACAAAACCACGACCCGATTAATTTTTAGAATTAAAAAATCTCCAGTGCAGCCTCATATAGCCCTAGTCAGTTGCGAAATACTTTAATTGCATCAAATTCCGAGTTTGATTCCGACCGAGTTCAAAATTGCCAATTAAGGAAGAACATGTCGCACTTTTGAAATGCCAGATCTTAATGTATTTTTGATTTGTTAGAGGTATATAGATCTATATATATATATCTATTACAAATGATAAGCCCTGGGTCATGCTAAAAAGGCGAAGAACTTTTTAAAATTTTCTATTTTTATTTCTTGACCAAACAATTTGCATTAAAAAAATGTGCAACTTCAAAAAAGCTGATTTTGCGATTGGATATGTTGAAGTAACTACCTGGGGTGGAGAGTATGTAAAAATTATGAAAATCTGAGCAAAATTAAACATTAAAATCTGGCATTGCAAAGTAAAGAAGTGACGTTGCCCTCCTAAATCTAACAATTTTAAATAATCGTAACACAAAGCTTTGTGTACAAATACGTAAGTCGATGAGTAGAATATTAGTTATCGACAGAAATAAAAATTCAGACGGAGAAAGTCATCTCATAAACCATGACTCGGGCTAAAAAATTGTAAAGTTTTTTTGAAAAATTTAGCTTCTAAAAACCACTAAAATACGCCTTTTGATCGGGATTTTTAGTAAAAAAAATATATTTTTTCAAAAACGTCGAAATATTGACGTAAATATTTATATTTTCTAAAACCCCAAAATATTGAAAAATATTGAAAAAAATTTTTCGCCAACGTGACCTACATATGACCATTAAGGTCCCTTATAAGTTTCACCAACATCGGTTACAAATTGAATGAGTCAAAAATAAATAAATAACCGAAGTATGACAATTACGTAAATCCTTGTTAATAATCTCACCGAATCATTTCCTGTAACAAAATTCTGGACGATTTCATTCCCAACAAAATCATGGGTTTCATCAACCATTTCTTCCTCAACAGATTTATCCAGCTCAACTTTTACTATCGTTTCGGGGATAACTCTCTCCATCCATCCACTCCATTACCTAAATAACAATAGTTAGTACATATTGGGTCATTTTAAAATTAAACTTTCATAAAATCATTAAATTAAAATAAAAGCGTACCATTTTCTACTCCGCCAACAAGATTGGTGAGGAAATATCTTCTAATAGTTTTTGTCGCCGAATCGCCGCCGCCCACATCGTTGTCGCCATCCTCGCAAACTCGCTTGACCATCCTCCTGGCTTGTTCCTTCACAGAGTTCAATTTGTCTTCCAACTACTTAATTTGGACAAATAGGCGACTCCCTTGCGCCACAATGCGGCTACATTTTAAGCAAAGCGAAATCCAGTCGACAGAATGACCATAATTTCGTAGAAGATCTTCACAAGCGGTGGGGCCGAGATTGAGGAGATTCCGGAGGAGGAAAATCACTCGGGCTTTGCGGTCAAGAAGTGGTGTCGGTCTCCTGGAATTTGTGTTAGGAATAATAACGCCGCACAGGAAACACGAATCCATCCTACTAGTCAAAACAAAGAGGCGACAGTTAAAATATTTCTAAAATAATTGAATTGAACAGTATTCACATGTTCTCGAGTATTAATATTACATAATGACCAAAGAGATTAAAGTATATTTGTTAAAACGACCTATGTTGATATTTAATAATTTGGTAAACAGTTAATTTATTCTACTCATTTCTTCTTGCAATTAAAAACATGTTTAAACAATTTGTATGAATTTAAATTTACGTCAAATTTATGGGAAACTAATATACATCGGGACAATTAAATGCTTACCTGACTTTGTTTTATCAAGTGATCATGAATACTCGTGATGTGTAATTTGCAATGTAAGAAACAATTAGAATTACTTAAAATAATTGTCTAACGTAACGAGACGACCAACACAAAAGTTTTCATTTTCACTTTCACTCCAGCTGAAATGAAATGTGAGAATCTTTCACCCTTGCACCACCACCGGTAAATAAATCTGCGAGTTTATACCTTTTAAATCCAGCTGCTTTTCTGCACTTGTTTTTACAATTACAAATTAACAAAAAATAATAAACAATGACACAATTATTTTAATTAATTCTTCTGCACTTTACAAATTACACTAATCAATAAGACACTAGATGGGATAAGTTATTCTCATAAGACTTGATAAGACCAGATTCATCCCTAATAAATTAAATAAATTAACACAATAAAAATGCCCACTTCAAAACTCAAAAAGTTCCGGAAACAAAGTGTGCTTCGGATGAACGAAGTGAATGAAGCAAGGAGGAGACAAAAGAAGGGGAATACCCTTATGTTAAACAAGTATTTACATATGTATTTGCAATTAAATATTTAACTGTAAAATTTATTTTAACCTAACTTTATCTATTTTTTAGTACTACCGATTCCTGTCTATTATGCCATACTGCGGGGACAAATCCCACCACACCCACACCAAACCTTGACCTCAACGCCCGAGTGATTTTCCTCCTCCAAAAACTCCTCCATGTTTCCCCCACCGTTTGTGACGATCTCTTGCAAAACTATGGTCATCCTGCCGACTGGATTTCCCTCTGTTTCAAATGCAACGACATTGTGGTGAAAGGGTGCAAATTGTTTGACCAGATTACCAAGTTGGAGGAGGAGCTTGACTCGATAAGGGAACAAGTCAAGTCGAAGGTCAGTGTCAAGGAAGAAATTGGGGAGGATGGTGACCGAGAGGAGAGCGATTCGGCGACAAAAATTATTAGAAGATATCTCGTGTCTAGTGGATTTGTGGGAGAAGAAAGTGGTAAATAATTGTTTTTACTGTAGACATTAAATTGAGGGGAGGAAATGTGTGTGGATTTTAGCAAGTTTTTTTTGCAAAATTTGGATGGTTTTGGGTGCAAGTAAATTATTGTGTCGTCTCGTCGTATATTATAAAATGGTGTCGGAAGATTTCCGTGGTTAATGATACGGTCAATATTAAATTTGTGAGAGGATAATGTCCCCTGATTCCGCTGGTATTGTTTATCAGGCAAATATTTAACCAAATGTACTTTTTTATATATGTATTTAGACATTGGCGTAGAAATATATCCCGATCCCGACGTTTCAATTAAGGTCGAGGTGGATGAGAGTGACGGAGCAATTCCTCCCCCAGATTTTGTGACTCATTATTTCAATTTGGATAAGAACGAACCCTTCGTATTGCCGTCAGTTGAGGCAGTAGGTGTGGACCCTTTAGCGTTTCAGGATGATGAAATGGTGGAGTATATTCCTTCCGCTAACCAACCACCCAGGAGGGGAAGACCCAGAAAACAAGCACGTGTAACTCAAGTCGGAGTCAACACAATAATTATTTCATAGTGATAATTTTTCCAAGTTAATTGTAGTTACATTTTGTCTATATTTTCTAGACGAAAAAGGGTAGAATGATTGGTAAAATTAGTAAGCCAGCGACAGTGCAAGATTATGACCGGGACGAGGACGAGAAATCTGACCAAGATGATCGTCACAACGATGTTAGTTTGTAGATATTTTAATATTTGTGAAATTTCTTAAAAAAACTAATCTAAAATAACAATCTTTTTGCAGTATTCAGATCAAGGTTCTCTTGCCCCCTCAGCCCAACCTGAGCCAGCTACCCTTTCTTGGGCTGAAATTATGGCCAAATTTCCACCTCCTCCTCCTACCCCGGAAGACGAAGAACTCATTCCATCCCAAAGGCACGAAAAAGAACTGGAAAGACTCACTAATCTCGCTACCAAATACAACATCACATCGTTCCCCTGCCCCCACTGTCCTAAAGAGATGTCAAAAATCTCCTACTGGTCCTCTCACGTGGACTGGTGTACAGATAAGACGATGGGCTACAAATGCGACACATGCGAAAAGGTCGTAAAGACGAAAGAAGTCCTAGAAAATCATATCTTATCGACTCACGTCTCCGAAGAGGCGTTCACATGTTGTGGCTGCAACACATTTTTCCGTCGCTGGGAATACTTTGATGACCACGCCATTAAAAACGCTGATTGTGCAAAATTTGCCATTTTCTGCACTAACGCCCCATGCAAAATTGCCTTCAGCTCCGAGCAGGTGTGTCAAATCCATTCGGAATGTCGACACAGTGACATAAATCCGTTCAAATGTTTAGAACCCGGGTGTGGAAAACGGTTTTCAACTTGGCACCTGCTTAAATGGCATTTTGAAATGCATCATACGGAGGGGAATAGGTAATGGAATTAAACAGATTTTTCTTTATGTATATTAATAGCAAAATAAGCGCTATATTTATTCAGGATTTTAAATATGTATAATTTACTTTATTTATTCTATTTATCAGCGCCGTCTGCGACCAATGTGGGAAGGAATTCAAGGCTGAAAGATCTCTTAGGCATCATGTCAACAATGTTCACCGCACCCGAGAAGAGGGCGCGCCCAGATTTCCGTGCGATATTTGTGGCAGGGAAATGGTGACAATGAGCAAATTGATTCGCCACAAGCAAATCCACATCAATCCGGACGACGCCCCACATCTCTGCACCCTCTGCGGGAAGAGGTTTCGACTCAAAAATTATTTGAATATTCACATGTGGTCGCACGATCCGGACAGGAGGGAGAAATATTCGTCCTACAAGCCCAAGCAGAGGAAGAGGGGGGATGGCGAGGTCAAGAGGGGTGTGGCTGGGGCGAGGATTGGGAGACCGAAAAAGATGGAGGTGGAAAAGGCGACAGAAGCAGTTAGAGAGTTGGAGGAAAATAAATAAATAGAGCCACAAACGTCCTTTTAACTGCATTTGTGTATTAAAAACTAATTGATGTGCATAATTATGTACCAGTGTTCAAATTGTTACTAAATCTAAAATTCTAAATTGTCCCAATTTTAAAATGTTTTCGATACTGTACACACTTTCGGCGTTGGTGACGCTGATCGAGGCAAGATTCGGGAGTGGACTAGGCAGACGAACCTGGATGCAAAAATTATTTATAAATACTTCAGAAATAACTTTTTTTTTTACATGATATCATATTTTCCAACCTTCGGACGGATTCGGTAAGTTGCGTCGTATTTCTTGACGTAATCCATGTCCAATTCTCGGGCCGAGGCAGGAAGCCCGGACAACATTGTGTTAACAGATGACGTGTCGATTACTTTCCAATTCTGAAAGAAGGTGTACTTAAAGACTTGCAATTTCGTACAGTTGGTCAAATCCGGGTAAAAACTGCTGCAGACGAGCAAATTTTCTAAATTTGGACACGCACCTATCAATGCTTGACACATGGACGTTAATAACTCATAATTGGCTTTAGCTGCCACCAAAAAAGAACACTTGGTCATCTGGAAGGCGATATTGGTCAGGGTCGATCGCACAGAAAACTTCTGACACGCCACTAATCCCAATTTATCCTGATATTTCCCGTTGGACTTGAATTTAATGGAGGTGAGGTTGGGAAAGTGGGAGTTTGCAAGGGCACGCAGAATTGGAGTGCTGTCCCAATCTCCGACATGGAGGTCAAGTTCTGAAGTAAAAGCTGTAGAATCCAGGTCAATGTCGTCAATGTTGATTTCTTCCGGCCCACAAATTAAAGGTGAATCTAGACAATTAATAATTTGAATTAATGTAGAGACTTTAAATTGATTAGAAGATATAGAAAGCAAAGCTACTAAAAATAGACCATTCATACCTAATTTAGAGAGGGCCATGTTATTAAAACTGTCAATCGTCAGGCTTCAATTAGTCTGCTGGAACGATAAAACAAGCCGAGTTAAAATATAATTAGTTAATTAATTAACGACTACCTGGATTTTGCTTTCGTTGAATGTTTTGTTTTCTCTTTGCAGCTGACTTTGAGTTTCGTGGCATGGAAAATCTTTGGGGAAATGTGCGATTTAATTTCATGAAACTTGACTCACTAAATTTGTTGCAAAATGAATTTTTTTTTCTTAATTCTCATTTTAGTTTTATTTATTTTAAATATTACAAGTCACACAGCTCGTTTTGACGCTTATATACAAATTGAGTTAAACTCCATGAATAAAAAATTCTTTGAAACCCGGAAGTTCAGTAGTATTAAGTTAGTCCCCACAATAATAGTTTTCCCCATAATAAGCCAAATAATGAATAAATCCCATTTTAGAATAATTTTACCCTCTCATCAATCGTAACATTCCTTGAGCTGAAGGCGAACCGGAAGTTTCTTCGCATCTATGAACGACTGCACCTTAGCTCGTACCCCAACCGGAAAAAAACTGTTGTAGCACTGTTAAAATTGAAAAGTGCACATCTTTTTAAATGGCCGGAAGTCATACGTGAGGACAACGTTGTGTTGAGAGCAAAGCCAAGGTTGGTGGAATGTGATGAGAATGTTGTGCAACTGTTTTCCATACGTTAGATTCGTAATATCCAACGTGCATATAATGTTATGATCACATTTGATTGATGTTATCTGTACATTATTATATGCCAAAAAACACAGTGTATTATAGTTCAGTTTTCATTATTTATTTATTTATTTCGTTAAGCAATACAGAACTGATAACAAATTAGTAAAAATAACCAAAATATGAATAATATACAAACTAATTAATACTAGTATATACTAAATACCACAAAAAGGGAGACAAAGAAATTCATTTGCAGAGTCGCAGAGTGGTAACAACATAACTTTACAATTCAGATCACTTTTACTAATTAAACGACATTGCTGTGAAAGATGACTAACGACAAATATTGATAATTTAGAACTTTCACATGGATCTAAAAAAAGTTTGTTTTATGAGTAAATTTACTAATTTCTACCTGATTCGACCCATTAAATTGCATAACCACGACTACTTCACCAGTTGCAAGTAAAAATGTACGGTTTTTTGGATCGGTTGAAATATAAGGCGTTCTTTCGCGACAATTTTGAACACCAGATATTTCGTACTCACTAACCCTTCTAATTACTTGTGGCAAATGATTATTGCGAGCTCGGAGCATCCTCTTTATGCTTTGCATGAAATTTTCAAATTCAAATGCATATATTGAATTTAATGAACCGAATTTCAATGCGTCGTCTGCCAAATGAACTAATGAGTGCACGTTATAAACTAAAAATTCTGATACATATAAACGAGGAACCTGCTGAACAAACAATACTAGTAATGATTTTGCGTAATTATACCATTCTCTATTCTCTGATAAAAGAATACGGACAGCAACTGACAACTTAAGGAAATGATAATATTTTTCTTTTTCAAGGATTCCCTTTAAAACTAACGGACCTAAATATAACAGAAAAGTTCTAAATTCTGTCGCCTTCCAAAAGTCCAATTCCAATAATGATCTTGGTTTTCTGTTAAATTCTTTAGGGATAAATTGTCGACAAGCCAGTAGTCGTTCTGAAATTTCTGCAATATCTAGCCTACCTAGCCTATGTGGAAGTGGACCACTCTTCCAACAACACAGTAACTTTTTTGTGACCCCCAAAAATACTAGGTGCATAACGTCAAGCACCATGGTTGACACCATGCCAATTCCTAGTGATTCGAACGGTGAAACGCCAGTGTGGTGCAATTTATCCTCTTTCCTATAAAAATTCTGATCAGTACGTAAAGGGGCATCCACTTTTTCAAAAATTACACGACCTAGCCATCTACCCTTTTGAATACAACGATCGCACCCGTTGTAACCATTAAATGCAGCACAGTGTTTTATGAAATTTCTGGCAGGTGCATCAGCCACTATACAATTAATAACTACCTGCCTATTTATACCATTAATTTCAATCCCTATCTCATTTAAAAATTTATATTCATCTATAAAAGGATTTAGAAATTCATTTACGTTTGTGGGTTTGCAGGAATTACTAAAGTAAAGACCCACAATAAATGGTTTGCCAAAATTAAATAATTCGCAGCTCACTATAATAGGCCAAAACTGTTTTTTACTTGATCTGCTAATTGGCAAGCCATCAATTCCTACATTTAACTTAATTGTACCATATGTTTCTACGAATGACGATAAAGTACTAAAATATAAAAGTTTTTTGCCAATCCAAAGTGATGATATTTTCCACCGCCTATGTCTAAAATTTCGTAATTTGTGACTGTACCAAGTAGAGTTTTGTATGACCTCGGTAAAGAACAGTTTGGAAAATGGGCAGATAATATATCTAGCAGGTTATCAGTGGCACACCCAGTAATGTTGTGTTTTACCGCCCATCCAGACAAGTCTGATTTAATATCTAGTCTAATGTCTGAACTATCTAAATCCAATTCATCTTCACTACTAAGTGGATTTTCGTCGTTGCTGTAAAATATCTGCTGTAAAATTGTTACTTTCTACTTCCTCCGTTATATCATAATTACAACTCTCTCTGTCCTCTAAATTATTTGTGTCCGTAGGCATTAAGTTAGCATTATCTATTTCTAATAATATCGAATTGTACAATCTCTGTCTGTCTCTACGATTACTTCTACCTGAAGCCATAATTATCACACGTAATTACAAATTACTGCTAGGTTTCTATTTCTTCGGTCTTGAAAACCTCAAATAATCCATAATTGCGAGGCGGATATTACATTCTGCCTTTTCGTCTACTCCGACAAATTTGTTCAGTTTTACAGCGGCTAGAAGTACAAACAATTACATCCATTTACTTGCCTTTATGAAATTCTGTTATTTTTGCTTCATTTACAGTAATATACTCACATATTATGCAATGTTCTATATTCTTATAAATTTTAAAAGAGTTCTTCTCTCCTTTGCCTCGTCCAGTATACGTGAATCCAATGGCCAATTCGTCAGTAATAATCTTCTCGAAGATCAGCTTAATATGTTCTTTCAGGGTTCTGCCTCCAGTGCCAGCCAAATTATTAATCTAACAGGAATAAATATAATAAATATAAATATAAAAATAAAATAAGGAATAAATATAAATATAATATTTAGGATATGTAGGGCAATAATGGAATTACAAATCAAACTTAATAATTCTTACAAAAATGCTTTTCTCTTTAGGCAATCCTAGCTGCGTCTCAAATTCGACTAAGCTGTCCTCCGACACAAGCGGGAAGGTTGGCAATGTCGAATAATCATAATTTGATGGGTCGAATTGGTCGTCAGTTGTTTTCTGTAGATGGGTCAGAATTGTGTCAACTTTTCCCTCAATGGCTTTCTGTGCCTTCTCAATCGCAGCAAGATGTCGAATTAAGGTGGTTTGAAGTCCTAAAAATTGCAATCAGGATTAATTGCGGTCTAGTATATTTTAGTTGACAATAAAATTTGATTACCTTTTTGGTTATTTGAGTTGGCTTTTGGTGTTACAACGGTCTCAAATCCGATGGTTTCGCGGCTTGGAGTTGTCACAAATGGGGTAAGATCGTGGGCAGAATTTTCTTCTGATGTGGTAGCCAAAACGTTTTCCGAATTACTTAAAACTATCGATTCTGTTCCACTTGTACCAGCCAGTTCATTCAACGAAACACAATTCTCTACAAATAATGAATAATTTTGTACATACCAATAATAATTATCGTTAATCTTCATACCTGCTGACGGAAAATTCAGGTAGTACAACGTAGTGGGTGGGACTACTGGAGTGACGGATTGGCTGGTACCTGAGCAAATAAAATATTAAACTTGGTTAAAAAAATACTAATGTTATTTGTAACATTTTATAGTTCACGTCACTGGTGTAAACTTACACTGTTCATTATAATTGGCTAATTGCAGCAGCTTCTTTTTATTGGGAGAAGATTTATCGTCATCACCAGAATGATCAGAACTAGAGGATGGTAGTTTTTTCCTAGAAATTCTTTTTTCTGGCTGTCCGTTATTTTCTAAATCCGAGGTCACTTCAGCCGTTTTTGCGCCATTAAGGGCCGTCTCGTAACTATCTATAATTAATACGACAGATAAGAATGAACGAGATGAAACTATAATAAAATAATGCCATAATACTACATAATTTAGTTACCAAATTCTCCCAATATTCGGATCCCACACTTTCCCCAGGACTTGGCTGGTTTTGCACGGTCACGTCGTAAAACTTTTAACTTATCAGAGCTACATCTTGGGGGCCACTGACATTCTTCGTCGTTAACAACCCAATTCGAAGGTATAAAGTCAACCGTAATCGGATTTTCTTTTAAAAATTCTACAACTAAGTAGTTTTTTCGAAAATTTGCCATTGCAAATACTTAGAGAAAATTTAGTCAACTGAGAGAGCAAAGTCAAACTTATGAAGGCGAATTGGAATGGCGGCGACGGCATGGCACAATGCACGAGTTGGATTTTCTCACGTTGGTATAATGTGAATAAAACTTTCATGCAACATTGATGTCACGTTATTTATAAAATGACTTAAACATTGTCTTAACGTGGATTTAACTATTTGGTTAATATCCAATGTTGTCATAACGTGTAGTCAATAGTTGTAAAAGTATGTTTTCGGATTTTATAACGTTATGCTAATATTAAATATTCGACAAATGACACACTCCCAACACATTCACACTCTCACAACAATGAAACGTTGGGTGAATGTTGCTACAACAATTCGTTTCCAGTTGGGACGGGATTGCTGACCTGAAAATTAATTAAATTTTAATATATATTTACAATATAAATTTTATACACAAGCATAAAAAAACTACCTTCTGATCAATCTCCACACCTGCACAATTCTTACAGGCGGCAAATGCCGCTTTTAATTTCTTAGAGAAGATCAAGTTTGGTGAGAAGGATCCCACCAGCCAGTAAATTTCACTCACGTGGATAATTAAAGTGACCATTTTTGAAACTGGGGGAAAGTTTGATACAAATTAGTAAATGTGGCATCAATACCATCTACTTAAAGAAGTTCATTACTATTCAATGTCGCCCAAAATTCTAAAATAGGCGGAACATATCGGGGAGCCGCTTCTTTCAGGGAGACAACTCCTTTTTCCAGCATCCAACCATTCAATGTTTCCAGAAGTATTTCCAACCCGATTAAACCTTCTGGATCCAAATAATCCACGACGAGTTTGAAATTCAATTTGGTCACGGACGGACATGCCGCAACGATTCTTTCCAGCTCTCTCTGACATTGGTACAAATGGCAGTCCAATCTCATCGATGTCACTTCCACGCGAGGATATTTAACGTCAGTAAAAATATCACGGTTCCAAAATTTGTTCTCGGGTAGATCGATGGAAAGGTGTTGCAGTTTGGGGAATAATCCCAACTTGAAAATATTGTCGATACTGTAGACACCACCGGCGTAAGCGATGTTTACCGAGGTAAGATTCAGCATGTGGGTAGGGAGGCGAAAATCGTGCACCTGAAAAAATTACTACTCCATCAAAGTTAAAATATAGTGATTGCGTAATTTTATTTAAAAATAGTATAAAATTCGTACATCTAACCCTGGAAAGCGACACAGACGGGGAAAATAATTCAGCTCCAAGTTTCGAACAGAGTTTGGAAGAGTTGACAACATTTTATTAAGCGGCGAAAAGTTGGTTTCCCTTTTAAACACACCCGTCTTG